TAATGACCCCCCCTCTCCACTGGGGGCACTGTTGGTGCTGTGAATTCAGGTCAGGCACAATTGTGCACTTTACATATAGGTCAGGCACAAATGTTCATGAAGGCAGTGCTCTTCTAGAGTATACAGAAGAGCACTGACAACCTTAGCACTGTAGGCTTAGGTTGCTAAAAAACCAAAGCTGCACAATCAGAATTATTTTGGCAAATCTTTAGAACTGATGATGGAGTAGAGAAGTTGTTTTTGAGTCATGATGCTTTTTTATGCACTCATTTTTGCTCTGAGAAAGTAGGAAGCTAAGTCAAATACTTTAACTAACTGAAAAAGAATCTTACAATCAATATTCCAATTGATCAAATCTAGATGTAAGTCCAAAGGGAATGAAAGATTGTAGGTTTTAGTGTCTCTTTTAGTATTAAAATGTTAACTTTATAATGCAGAAGTCTTTAACATTATAAGAAAATATCTGAGATGCAAACTTCAGCATTATTGTCATGTGTCAGTTTAAAATGATAAACACATGCAACAGACCATTGTACACGTTTTTCTTCCTTTATTTATCGACATGCATTAAATCAGACGTCTTTCTTTTGGCTGCAGAAGTGCGAGAGGCTGTTGCTGCTCTTGTTTTGCAGTGACCTGACATCAGACTTCAAAGAACCCGTATCCCCCTCGGTGAGTCTGAAAGCATGGCTGACCACAGACAACAAGTTAACAAGATTAACGTTGCAGGGTGTTACTGTAACTGTCATTTTAATGATGTGAAATATGTCGTGTTTATCAATAAAGCAAGAGGAAGTATGAGTATGAGTCAGAGCAACTTTAACAAGATAACACAAATAAACATGTATTTCTTTTGCTGACACAGAGAGTGTAGGGACTGTTATTGCACATTAACTCTGATTGATTACGTAATATCTATGATGTCATATTTGTGCATTGCATTTAACAGCATGGGCCATTTTTTTCTGCACATTTACAACAAAATCGGGGTAAAATCAGTAACCTCTTGTGCATAATGTTGACGTGTAATATAAACTGTGTGTGAGTTATTAATCTTCATTTTGCTGCAACTTCGCCCAGTGCCATTTTATTGGTGCATTATCTCTCCCTCTCTAAATACTGTAGGTATGTGCTAATGACAGGCGGTCTATAAAGGGACCTCTGAACCTTCCCGGTGTGAGAAAACGACTGGAGGCTCAACTGAATGTGTGCTACCAAAGCCCTGCAGAGTTTGTATCAGACGTCAGGCTTGTCCTTGGGAACTGTGAAAGTGAGGTAGAAAGAGCCGTCTGCGAGAAGCCCCTCTCTACCGTATTATACAGCTCTTCACACCTCGTAATCAAATGTTTTAACCCTCATTCCTTCCTCTTATTTCCTGGCAGGCTGACACTGAGGTCCCCATAGCAGGCAGGAAGCTTAAGGATCTGTTTGAAGAGCATCTTAAAATCACTTTCCCTGACCAGACCTTTCCAGAAATCAAACTAGAGATGATTCCTGCTGCCCCTTCTGACTTCAAACTCTCATCTCTTGACGGTACACCCCAGCCTGCAAAGCGCCAGCGCTCATGTTCAGACTCCCAGGATACACCAAACTGCCCCAACGGAGAGAAGGGAGTCGTATGAGGGAAAAAAAATCGTTTTGAATCATTATGGTATTTGACAACACTGCCAACACCAGTTTATATGGGGTTTGTTACGGTTTATAACGAGCATTTATAATACAAAGTTACCTTCAGGTACCTTTAACGTTTCTCATATGTTTAATGATTAAGTTGAATTGCAAGCGTACCAGTTGACGTACCTTTTCTCTCTTGCTAAATGTTAAAGACTTGGGATTCATTCAAAAGCACTTACATGCAGCTCTTTTTGGTGTATACAGGGTTAAACTTCTCCTTTTATTGGTAACGTAATCAATCTGATGAATCAGTTTGCTCTTACCGAGTGATAAGTCTGCTTATAGTATACATCAGTCCTGCCAATAGATGGTGTGGTCAGTTTTTCATATGTTTATCCTGCTTAACTCTTGGTGGGTAAATAGAAGTCATGGCAGGAAGGATGATGATGATGAGCTTTAATGTCTCTCGTCTTATGAGGAGTAGGATCTGTCAAGAAGCTCCTTGAGACCGGTAAAATGAGAACATCAAAGGAATCAAAGTTGTGTGATAATACCACACATTTGATGTTGTAAAGGTTTATTTTGTTTTATTAGGTTTTATTTATGTACGTTTATTTAAGGAAATACTTTTATTGTGAAGTTTTCTATAAATATATATATATAATTTTTCTTGTCAAATCAAAGAGCCAGAACCTGCTTTCATGGAGGTGTCATACAGGTGTTTAAAGGGTTCAATAAAAATCATTTTGGTCAATGATTATTCATTAATATGCAGTTTTTTTCAGCCTGTTAAATGAACATTAGTTTATTTATGTCCTACTTAAAAAGTACAAGTCATCCCAAGTCACACATTACAGGCTAGAAAAGCTACTTTCTCCTTTAACAAGCCTCCACAGTTGTTTCCTAACAGCGATGGAGTCCTTTGGGCCCCACGGTGCAGCATGCTGACTGCCCCGCTGAGTCAGTGGCCCTCTGTTGATTGACACAGACGTGGCAGGACAAGCTTTGTTGAGCTTCAAAGGAACTGTACTTCAACCTAAACAACAAGCTTAACACTGTTTGAATGCGACCTTGGCCACTCCAATTTCCTCCACCTGTGAGCGAGGAGGTCAGTGCACTCTGCTGGTTCCTGTTAAAGCCCAGAAGTGGATTTGGAGTTGGAGGGGAGGGAGGGGCTGGAAGTTTCTGGAAAGTTAGCAGACATGAGAAGTTGGCGTAAGATGTTCATTTGGAGAGTTGATAGACTAGCACTGGCTTGGCTCTCATTTTGGTGCATTCTTCATCTGTTTTATTGCCTGTAAACACCTATTATCTCTTTTCAACTGTACACCACGGCAAAATTAAGATAGAGGCGAGATCAGCCATGACAGGATGGTCTCTGTTGTTGTGATAACTACAAGTGGGGGCATCCTTGACAAATATATATCTTTAGGAAATGCTTCTACAGCAACAATCTAAAATTAAAAGTCCTATTGTACAGTTAAAATGGGTTTCCAGGATAATGTAACTCTATTTGTTAATTCTTTATTATACTACTTTTCATGGTATGATGTGCTTTTCTCTACCTTCCAGTGGTCTTCATTTCAACACCAACTTGCAGAAATCTGCTCAAAATAGGTCATCCATTATATCAGACACGATGTCTGTTTTTGTTATCATGTCAAGTCAAATCATATTTTAACCTGGCAATGTCATTGCAGAAGGATTTTTCGTGATTCACCATGCGACTGCAGAGCATGGACAAAAAACAAGACATGTTTATTGTGATGGATTACCGACCCAAGCAAGTACTTGCATTCTTACACCACAGTGTGTTGTCTTTCGAGTAGCTTATTATGAGAATAAATTGGATCATGGACAAATCAGTATTGAAAAAGGCAGTTGTATCGTCTGAATAAGGAAGACAAATACCCTGAAAGTCAAACTTAAATCCCTTATCCCACATAGCCTAATCCAGCTCTTTAATAGTGATGCTACAGGATTTTGTTAATGGAGTCTGGAAAATTAGAAAAACATTCGTAAATGTAAATCATGCATTTAAATGGGCTGAAACATTCAAAACACTGGTATGCTCTGTTAAAATGTGGTCTTTTAAGAAGACTGTAAACAGAGTGTAATTACTAACAGAAAGTGCAGACTGTGGTGGACTAAAGGAGCACCGAGATTGAGACGGCACTCATCACACAGTCCACTAAAACAGACCAGTCACCCATTTATAACTGCCATTTACTTGTGGGCTTCCCTGTATGTCTGTGGTGTCCTGATATCAAGTCTTTGGTGATGTTTCTAGACCGGCTAGACTGGTGGTGGAGACATATGGCTCTGATTAGAAGATCATTTAACCTCTCTCTGTCACCATGCCCAGAGTCAGCAGACTGATTGAATTTGCAGAGGGCTTTAGTTGGTACAAAATGTTTATAATGCAGTCTCGCAATTATTTCTGCACTTCTTGCCAACTCTGGTAGACTCCTGTGTGTGTGAGAGTATGTGTGTGTGTGTACGTGTGTGTATGTGTGTCTGTGGCTTGTTTATACCCAGCTCCCTCTCACAGTTCATGATCACTTTGGCTGATGGTGAGCACCACATCTGTGGCACTTTTACAAACGCTTTAATTCATTAACTTTGAGTTTATAGAGACATTTAATACTGGATACAGTATCAGTAGAGGATATTATGGAGGATGCAACAGCACACAGCGTTGTTCCCCATATGTTCCCAAAGTGTGCATTAAAATAGCAGCGAGATGCTTATTTAGAGATAATTGAATCCCTTTTTTTCTTGTAATGAAAAAAATTCAAAGGTTTCGAAATTTATAGTCTGGATGTAGCCACAACAGATTTTTAAAATACCCCAAAACTGGCTCCAGATGTTGAATAATCAGCACAGTCATTAGTCACAGGCAAAAAAAAAAAAAAAAAAGAGTGTACTCTGGCATTGATGGGGAGACAATTTCCATGTGTGCATGCATACCTCACAGCACAGTAGCCCGAAGACACTTGCAAGTCCTCCTGCCGCCAGGCTATAAATATTAAGGCAGCCCTCAGCTCCCCAGGTAGTATTTCAGGTCTTATTATTCCCAACATAAATGAATCAATCATATTGGACATTTGAGAATGAATTGGACTTCTGTGTAAACAGTCCTTTCAGAATTTTAGGAACAGCCATATGCTGCATAAAATCACCTCTGGTGTAAACTTCAGTGTGCATGTCAGCCTAACAAACTTTTATGTTTCTTTTTTATTTTATTTTAATAAACTGAAAGTATAGCACACGATTAACGACTTGTATTTGGAGTTCAAAATAAAAACACAAGCTGATATGATTAGCAATAAGTGGTCGGTGTCTGTGGCCCCAGCCCGCCCCTCACTGTGCCATAATTAGACGCTCATTCCTTCAGTCACGCTGCAAACTGCGACTCACCCAACTCCATCACATCCACCTCTCTGCCTCGGACTCTGGCTTTGTCTTTCAAAGGAGCTCTGCTGCTTGTTCACACATCCTGCAGGCATACCAGCACACAGCACTGAGACGCTCAAACCCTTCAAACATCTTTGAAACCCGCTTTATTTGAGTTGTACTTTCATTCAATGGGTCCGTGTTGGTGCTGCTGTGCTCTCTGTTCGGAGTTCTCCTTGGTCAAGGTAAGTTACCTTTCTGAAGTGTTTACTGTTTATACCGCGGGTTGTCTTGTTATTAGGCGAGCTAAATCAAGCGGCAGGCTGGATTTGTTGCGTTTTTACGATTGTCTGTTAGTATGTTTTTTATTGCAAGAATACTTTTTATCATCAAGACTGTGGATTATAGGAATCAAACTGGCAAAGAGTAAGACCCATGGAGGTGACGAGTCTGCCATAGGACTAGTTGGGGCATGTGATAAAAGCACAGTTTGCAGAGTTGGGTGCTTCAAAGTGTTTCAGGTCTGTCTAGAAATGAAGAAGGGCTCAAATTTCCCCTTTCTGTTACAAAACTAATGTAAAAAAAAAAAAATGAACAGAGATTGCTTCAGAAAAAGCCAACTTGGGGGGGTTGTTTTCTCATTCATGGTTTTGTACTAGGTCAGAAAGTAAAATGTTCTACAAAGCCATCTTTAACAGTCATAAAGAATGCTATTTGTGCACTGCATTGTGTTACACAAAATCTGGATAGGTAATAGTCCTGTGGCTTGAATTTTTTGTGTGTCATTAATCAGATGTGGTTCATGCTTCAGCCAAGTGATAAAAGAAAGAATGACATACTCTTAAGCATGTTAAAATGCAGTTCCACATAAGTTGGAAGAGTTCTCACCACCCATATAGTCTTACTTTCTCCAAGTCAAAGGCCAAGTGTCCTGGTATGCTGCGATGCTGTGGCAGAACGATCAGCGTCTCACCAGGAGAGACAGAAGTGTGATTTATACTAAAGCGTCCACAGCAGGGTCATGCAGGCAGGGTAGAGCCATATCCAAACCCCCATGGTCCCCTGGACACACATGGGACAGTTTTCACAGTCAGCGGGACTACTTTTCCTTAAGCTGCCTTCTTGGTGGGATCGTGTCACAGGTCAGATATCAACGCGACCAGTTACATGAATTCAACTCCCAGACGTACCTGGATGGATAGCTGGATAGATTGATAGCAGAGTGGCCTCAATACCAATATTTGATTTTACAGTCATGATACTAGCCCGTGCATCTCAATGACATCATTACCAATCAACCTTGTAAAAAAACAAATTTCCAGGTCAATTTTTTTATGTGAAAATGACAAAAAAAACAGTATGTTGCAGCAGATGGTGTTATAAGTCAAAGCTAGAAAATGTCCACATCATTCAGTATATTTGCACCAATATATTGTTTTAGTGGCACTGGTATTGGAGGGATCGGTATCAGCAAATACTCAAGTAGGAATTTTGAATGGGATAGAGAAAGACAGATAGATAGGTTGAAAGATAAATGTGCCCATAGAGAGAAGAGTTGTTCCACTACCTGTATTGGTATCAGTATTAAAGCTAGCAAAATGTCAGTAGTGTTTGACCAACAATCTTATGTACATTTGTATTACACTGGTATCGCAGGGGAACTTGGATTGCGTTATTCAAGATAGATGGAAAGACAAATATGGACAGACAGAGAAAAACACCTACTTCCAGTTGTAACCAGATCTTTATTTTAGATAGCAAGAACCATCTTAATAAAACCCTGGAGAACGGGGAGTCTGTGAAAGAGACACACTGCTGTTGTGATGTCTGGCTAAGACCAACTCTGCCTGGGCGGAGCTCCACCACTGGGATCATTAAGCCTTGTTTACATGAGGCGTCTAGACACAGGCAAGCCATGTGCTGCTCTGCCAAGACTAGAATGGCCCTCACAACCAGCACCGCCATCCAAGATTGAAATCAGCCCTCTCCTCACAGACAATGCATCACAGAGACCGGAGAACCAGGCAGACTCTTCTGTAGACAGGGACACGGCTGTGCCTGGTTTACTCCTTTTGATAAACCAGCACCACACAGTTTAAAGGCACTTCTGGTCTTTCACTTTATGTTTTCAGAGCAGCAGACGGTCGTGGCGTCTGTGATGCCTGGTGGGTTAGAGTTAGTTATCAGCTGTGGAGAGCTACATTTAAGAGAAAGCTAAGTGACAGAGACGTGGGAGAATTACAGTATGAGACCAACTTTTACATGCTGCATCCCCAGGGAGAAAGATTTTAGATTTGTTATTCTTTAATCTAGAATGGTGACTATTATCCTTTTCGATATTTTAATACGAATGTGTTTTTATATCAAAAAGCTGTCTGCAGAGTTGTTTACTGATGCTAGTATGCTATCATATTACCTGAAATGGGGTTTATCAGCACTGCAATGATCCAAAACCAGCAAAGAAGAATGAACTCTGCTAGTGAAAACTGAGAAAAGTTAGCAAAAGGTCAGCAAACAGTGTCGTCCAACAAAGCACGATATAAGGGCTAGCTGAGACCATTATTACATGAGGAGTATAGCAAAGCTAGCAAAAAGTTAGCTCACAATGTCATCCAACAAAGCACTGTTTTACTGCACAGGCCTAGCTGAGACTATTATTGCACTAAAACACAAATAGAAGCAGTCGTCGACACTTTTAATCAGCAGAGAATAACTGAGCTCAGAGTGAGAAGTAAAGCAAAGCTAGCAAAACATTGGCAAACACTGTCTTCCAATCATACATTTTAAGGCATATGTCAGTTTAAATGTATATGCAAGCTAATTTAAACTATTGAAAACACAAGCAGCCTCTCGTTAAAAATCAATTCTTTTGGAATGACACTTGGCATCAGGAGTCAGTCTTTGGCTAATGTGATCTTAACTTGCGTTTCGGTTTGTTTTCCTTAGGATTATAATTAAAGCTGTCTGCTGTATATTTTCCATTTATTTTTAAGCCAATTGCCATTACTCCATGTTGGTATTGCAATCAATACCAGGTTTTGGACCATCTCCAGCAATTATGCTAATAGACACTGAAACTTGGATGATTTGCCCCCAGGTGTGACTTGATTAACACTTTCATATGAGGCACTCAGTGCAATTTTCCATACATGCTATCATATAATTCAAGCACAGATAGGCCTATTTTGCGATGGTCTCTCTGAAACATCATTCTTCACAAACAGACAGAAGCCCTTCACATTTAGAGACAGGGAGAGACTTTCAGACAACATACTTGGTAGGCCCATGTTAAAAGCTTTTAAAATGCCATCTCATTTCATCCAGCCCCTACAAGGTTTGTTGGCCAGAGGATTCTTGGAAATGCCAGACTTCCACAAGTCAGTAGTGAGTCAGCTAATAGCCTATTTAATACTCAGCACATATCTAGTCCTTTCTGCCAGGTTGATACACATACTGTAATTGCGATGGCCATAAAGTTTTAATTCTGACTTTTTTCTCTGAGAAATTTAAAGTTTTACAGCGACTGCTGCTTCCATAGTGTTGTTACAAAGTTCATCAGTGATGACTATTCCTGCTTGTGCTTCATCCTTGATTTAATAGGTGTAATAAAATTCCTCCTGTTCCTTGGGGAGAAAGCAGCAAATCAATGAAACTGAGGTCTGCTCTTCCAGACACTTGTCCTCCCTACCAAATCTACATTTTATCTGAAGTTGCTAAATCTTGCCAGACTTTTCACAGCAGACACTCTGTCTCAAACAGCTGGATTTGCTCAGTGCATTTCACAATCACTTTTCTCTATTAATTCTGAGTTTCAGCGAGTAACCAGCAACAACTGGTATTCTTTTACTATGAATCAACAAAACGATTTCATGTTGAGTTTGTTTCTCCTTCTTTCTCTCCAGGGACTTATTGTTATTAACAAATTGATGCACAGATCCTGTTTTGAGCTGGAGGCTAAATACATTTCCAAGGAAACAATCTGCCAAAACAATTTCATGTTTGGCTGATCAAACAAAAACCACAGACGGATGAATGTACTTGATGTGATTTCGACGGTTGATTGTTTACAGAGTCGAGACATTCCACGTGCTGTAATCCACACGAATAAACAGCCAGATAACCACAGAGCTGGTGGAGATCCAGGTAGAGCGCTTCTCTTGTCTGCCACGACATATCTATAATTCATTGTCTTTGGCAAAAGTTATGCCGTAAGGCATTTTGATTTGCAAAGATTTTATCTTTTAAAGAGCAGCTTTTTCAGAAGGAAAGGGCACACCCTTTCTTGATTTGGCTTAGAATTGAATTTTGATCACAAGTCACTTTCCGAGTAAAGAGTATGTTTATCAGCAAGTTACATTTTTTGCCAGAAATGTGATACAAATAATGCTTGCAACGATAAAGTGGGTAAAATAAGTGGCAGCACTGTTCTTTTAAAACAAGTTGCCATCTTTGGAAAGCAGGCTGGATTCATATTGCTATACGTGTCTATTTTTTAAAATTAGGCCTTTATGCCTTTATTAGATAGGACAGCTGAAGAAAGACTGGAAATGGTGGGAGGGGAGAGTGGGGGATGACATGCAGCAAAGGGCCGAGGCTGGATTTGATCCCACGGCTATTGCTATGAGGATTGTAGCCTCCTCACATGGGGCTTGCGTCATAAATGTTTGGCTATTTAGCACACCACATCTCTATCATGTTTGACAGGCCACACCCTAAAGACTAATTCAACAAACCCAATATTGTCCAAATAAATCACTGAGTGACAAATTGGCAGACAAGATCGAGACGTGTGTTCTGACCAAACAACTCAACAATCCAAACAATGTCCCCTGCAACTTTATACTTAACAAAAAAAAAACACTTCAATCCATTAATTTACAGCTCCATACATAAAGGTGGTTCTAATAATCCAATACAAAAGCATACATTCAAATGAAACTCATGACATGTTGCACTGCCCGTCAATCACTGGGTGTTCAATACGGAGTTCTAAGCCTGCTACGTGCTGTCGCTCCACCTGGTGTTTAGTATTAAAATAACATGCAAATAAATACATGATCATTGCTACATGTAATTTCATTTGACATTTAGTTAAAGTCAGAAAAAACAAAGAAGCACATTTTGGCTTAGTTACAGGAGAGTAATTGTGACCACAGTCTTGTTTGGAAAATGTTTACCTACAGTATGTAAAATTCAACCAATTTACTTATCTGGTTTCATAGTGGAGTCGCCCACCACTGGTCTTTAGAAAAATGCAGGTTTAAGGCACTTCATTAATGGCATCTCTTTTGAAATCAAGTGACTTGGTCAGCTTCTTATATACAGTTTATGTTCATTAAACTATTCTTAAGACCAAGCCATGTAAAGTGTTTCTTGTCATGTCTGTTTTAATTGGTAGGAAGCCAATCTTAAGTTGAGTAAGTGAGCCGTCTTTTGTGACTGCATGAAGATTTTTTAAGACTAGATGTTGCATTCTAACATCTGGGGTCTACAGGTCCCATGCTGCAAGAGGGGGTCCCTTTACTTGTGTAAAATAGAAACTGACAGATAAGAAACAGTTCTTTTGGCAGTTCATGGTAAATTGGTTGTGTCACCTTATTATCTGATCACACATGTAAAAACGTTTCTCTGCTTTTTAATGCCCGCAGGAGCAGAGCAGATCTCGATTGAGGACTGCTGTAAAGATGGCCAGAAGCGGGGAAATGATAACCAAGACTGCACGTCACTCCCTCTTATCTCGGGGTCCAGCACATGCATGTAAGCAGATGTTATCTACCATGCTGCGTTCATTGATTGAACATCTTTACATCACCAGATTTGCCTGGAGCTTGTTCAGATTGACGAGTCATTACCTGCTGCAACTTTTGTCATAATCTTGCATTGCACTGCTCTTTCTGTTTTATCCCTCAGGAATTTGGCATGTACCATGTTATGGGAAAAGGGCTACTAGATTACTTTGCCTTACCAAAATCTCCAGGCACATTATTCACTACGTATGAGAGCAGGAAGCGCTAATCGTGATGGGATAATAACAGGTCTGCTGGTAACCCGAGGAGGTGTGCTACCACAGGTTCAGGGCTCATAAACCAGGGTGATCTGCTGCTGTGAACACTGACAGCAAACAGATTTACTGTAGGAACCCAGAGTGATCCCAAATTTGTCTTAATTATAGCGTTAAATGTGGAGCAGAGAGGGAAATGGCAGCGGTTTTGGAGGGAGCAGACGGGAAGAGAGGTGAGGGGGGGTCAGAGAAGGGGCTGTTTCTAAAACCCCAGGAAATACCTCAGAGGTGAAATGCGACATAGAAGGGACGTAGGACGGTAGGAGAGAGGCAATAACAGGAAATCTGAACGATTACTGCATACACCAAAGGGGAAAAGTATGAGAGAAAAATAGTAGGTGGAGGAGAAAAACAAGAGCTTGACTTTGCCCTTAAAAGGTTCTGCAGAGGAGGTGTGCGCCCTGCCGTGAATTTGAGATCCCCAGTAGTTTATGTGGAAAGAAGTTTCTGGTGAGATTTGATAAAGAGGCTTGTTGGAAATGAGGGAGAGGAGGCGGAGAGGAAAAGTTACAGTGACACAGATCAAGACCAGACAGAAACAGTCATCCTCTCTTAACTCACTGGACTGCATTTAAACACAGCCAGAGTTAGACAATACAAAGAAATCTGATCAAATAGAAACATTAAGCAACTGATACTTTTATAATAATAAGCACATTTACTCATTCACATTAGTAAGGTCTTTTTACCTGCTCTTTTGTAATGTTAACAGACAAAGAGTAAGGTATTTTACCTGCTTTTTGTGTCTTGAGATAACACTTGTTATGAGTTGACGCTATACAAAATAAATTGAATTGAATTGAATTTACTTGGGTGTGCTCGGTCCAATAACTCCCTTTCACATGTTTATATGCAGGGTCGTGTCTTCCCCCCCCCCACCTCACACCACCCCTAAAATCTGATTGGCCACCCTGTGTGCCATGCCAAGATATGCTATGATTGGCTATTTGCTTTGTCAAAGTTTGTTAAAATAACCAGTTTGCAATGTTATACCGGTCTGCTAGTAGCTTCCTTTGCATTTTAGTGTAGCATATTTTCTTTTACTAGAACTTTGAAATATTTAAAAATACTTCCCACATATACTTCATATGACATAAGAGGAGTGAGTCTGCAAAATATTGCAAGCAAACTCCTTTTAAGCATACATTTTTTGTCACTGGCACATTGCCAATTAAGAGTTATCGCTAGTTTCCTGGCGTACTTAAATGTGATTGAATGGCTTGGGACTCACATCTTCTTTAGAGTCCTTAAAGGCTTTATATGTGATTTTTCACACTTAAATATAATAGAAATCAAGTATATCCTCTGAAAATAACTCTGTGAGTAATGACTGTCTACAATGGGTGTAACACCCGTATCCCACTGTCTGTGATGTTCTCCGAGTTTTCCGAGTCATATTTTCAGTTTGTTTATATTGCCGGGATGGCGGCTGACTCCTCCCCTCGCGAATAAAAGTTGTTTAATTGAGGGACTAGAGAAAAGAAGAATAACAAACTGTACACACTGCTTAACTGCGTTTCTAGATCACGCTTATTTCGGGTAAATTTACATGCAGTGTGAAGATACGAGCATAATAAAGATAACCCACCAATGCAACGCGAGTTGTTTTGGTTTCGTGCTGGTGCTCAAGGGCGACATCTGCTGGATCAAAATATCACATATAAAGCCTTTAATGAATGAAGCTTAGAAAGTGTATATACTGCCACTCCGTTGTGTTAACAAGTTAAAAAGTTATACACCGGAATACAAAATCTATACAAAAATCTTCTATGTTTATGTAAATGTGTGTGTGTGGCCACCCCTGCATTGGTCACTACCACAGTTTGGCCACCCCAGTCACAAAGTCTGGACACACCCCTGTTTATACGAATAATTTTATTGATTCATATAATTATACATTTTATGATCCACATTTGCACAAAAGTCAGAAGGTTGGCTGGTTGCATTATTTTACTTGATATGATTTTTCTTTGATTTCTGAGGAACATTTGAGACGATTGCACTCCAGTGACATCATTAACCTGTAACCTGTTATGTACTGGCAACTGTTAGTCACGCATCTGTTCTAACAGGACACAGCATGCTTATTTTAAAGGAGCGGTTTGTTATAGTGGTTATTATTATACAAGCTATGTCTTCAAAAAGTCAACACGAAGAAAGAGTTGCAGAGGGTTGACATCCTGGGACTGAAAAAGTTGTTTAACTCTGGTCAAAAACAGAGCAGCAAAAGCCTCCGGGAGTGCTGCACAACCCAGTTTAACAGTTTAAGTGATGTCAGTGCTGCAAATCACAATAAACCTCCACACTACTCTCCTCTGAATTCACACAGGACCGACTCTACCCACTCATCAAGACATTTTTAGTGTGACAACCCTGAAATCCCCATCAGGCGTGCCTCGGGCTAATTTTAATGGGCTACTCTGTAAGGCAGAGATGTATTGCACTGTGGAGGTTATGGATGGAGCTGAGCGTAAATGCACCACCTGTGTTTTGTGCTTCTTCTTTTTTTTCTTTTCTTGCTGACAGGATTGTGCAGGAGCAGTGCTGTGTTGCAGTGCTGGAGGATACCATGTGCAACACTGGCATCAACATGGCCAAAGACCAAGGAGCATGTGACTCTTTGTTCACCAACACCTGCGAGACCAAGACTACAAAGGTGTGTCAGAAAAGCTCACAATAAATCACTACGGGCTTAAAAACACCACTTAACTCAAATCTGTGTACAATATATCACTCTGCTGGACAGCCAGTTTGGAGGGCTAATGATTAATGAGAGCCATAGTGTGTAAGTTTGTGTATGTGTGCGTAAGCAGGATGAGGCATGTCACTCTGGGGAGGAATGGAGCTTGTTGCTGTCAGATACATTGTAAATTGAGCTCTGACTCTGGGATCTTCTGCAGGCGGACGTCCAAGCACTTTTCAGCCCCCTTATGTTTTTATTTAATTCCCCTCAGAGTGCCTCTTTATTTTCACAACATATTTCATACCAACGCATCACAGAGATGAACGCTTGGCAGAGTATAGAGACGCTGGGATGCAAGTTGGTACACTTTCTGGAAAGGATGAGATAATTGTCTGTGGGACAGCTTGTCTTTACTTGATCCACTTGAAAGTGCAGGTTGCTGGCTCATGCATAAAGGTGTTACCTGAAAAAGACAAAAGATATGTTTGAGAAGGAGCAGGTTTCATCCACTCTTCATCGATGACATAAAAGCTTTGCTTTATTTGTGTACTGTTTTATTGTAATTACAGTAACAAAGGCTTTGAAGACATTATGAATCAAGAAATGACAATCCCCCACCTTTCTCATGAATCCACAAAAAAGGAATTTGTTGTTTATGTTTAACACGAGGCAAAAGTCAACAACAGTTTACTGACTTACTTTGACTCCATAGAACAGCAAAAACAAGCTCTAAACATGTAATTGCCCTACAACATCCATATACACTGGAAAACTGTCGAAAGTACATTTGTTGTCTTTGATCACAACTGTGGGAAACGATTTGGCTCAATTCATGTCCAGCAGCTAGCGATAGTGTCTGTCTGACATTCAGTTCTCTGCAGGTAGCGTACTGTGTTTTTTAAATCAATAACCTGCTGTGGTTGAATTCCTTTAAAAAGAGAGAAACAAGATACAGAAAACAGTTCTGGGGTTAAAAACCGTTCAGGGAGGTAAGGAGGACTACACAGTTGGAGGACAAGTAAAGGCAAAATGTGACCTAGCCTGATTTAGGGAACCCTGCTGACATGGTATTTTAAGCAGATTAAAACCACACTCACTTATCAGGAAAAGTAAAGCTTTCTGATGTGGGCACTTTTGTTTGCACATTTTTCAAACATGCAAAGCCTTCAAATATACACAGCTTCTACTGTGTAAGCTGCCACGGAAAGAATGTCTTTCCAGAAGTTGCCGAATGCACGTAAAGTTTTCAAGGACAGTGTCAAGGTGACACAGATATGCACCCCTGTTTAATATTTGACAGACCTATGGCATGCATGCACCCAGTCACTATTTATAACACAAACCAGATATATCACACAAGGCTTCATTTCAGGTATATTACTTTATTGCACCAGCTTAAACACAAACACACCCTTCACACAGACTCTGCTGTTTTCATCTCCCCTCCCCCTCCTGGACTGACACTACCAGGCTGCCATAATGATTGATAAGAGTTTGCTTCTGCCAGAGGGGATGATGTCATCTTATCACCGTCTGTCAGCCCGTCTTCTTGCTGATATGCAACTTATTTTCTGTCACTCAATCTTTCTGAATCCTGTCAGTCCACTTGACTTCTCAATCAAACTCCTTTCCACCTGTCTGCTTGATTGAGAGCTTGGATTTCTGTCTGAAATACACCTGCCCCATTTTGCAGTGTAAATGTCTGCAGCATTTTTACAAAGCCGCATCATCTCACATCTTGATCTTTTCTTTTCAGTCTTTAGTTTTTGCCTCTTCTTATTTGACACTTCTTTCGTCTCTGTGATGTAGTGTTTTTCTCTTTCTCACATGTTTTCCTTTTGCAGGTTAAGTTGACATTATGCGCCTTCTTCTATTGTCTTCTGCAGATGTGCTGTGACTGTTGTCTTCTGGGGAAGGCCGCCCAGGAGCAGGGCCTCTCCTGTGACCACAGCCTGTCCGTTGGCTACCAGTGTGGTCTGGTATCCAGGGCTTGCTGCGAGTATGGAACCCATGATAACCAGACCACGCCCGCAGGACAAATTGAATGTGGGTTGGGAAAAAACAAGGATGGAGTAGGCTAGATATTACATTTATTCCTTAAGTTAGTTTGTATTAGAGAAACTTAAAACAGTCATTTGACCAAATGCATTAAAGCTCTCTAAATCTCAGTGGCGAAACAGACAAGAGAAGACCAATTTAGTCTCGATATCAAAACTCTGCTGGATGTTCATGGTCATTGTTATTCCGTCATTGCTTCAAGTTATATAAGATAGTTTAACACCTTTTGCAATATATTTAAATGACCAAGGGCTTTTTAGTGCCATCTGTTTCTCTAAAATAGAGAAATTTATTGCAGAAATAAAAAATCTCTGTTGTTGTCAAACACTGGCTTGCACTGCCCCGTGTTGCATATATACATCCATTGTTTATTAGTCATTAGGCTACTTTAAATTATTATTAGTTATAAAATTAGAAACATTTGAAGTTTTCAGGGATGTTTTTTTACTGTAAAACTAAAACTTCAGTTATCAAGTGTCACTGGTGTTGTCAAATTTAGACCAACACTGCCCCCTGTTGGAAGTATATGGTGCCTGCTTTTTGGTTCTTGCTTCAATTTAAAAAAAAAAGGTTTTTACAGCTGCTTTTTACTGTAAAATAGAGGCATAACGTGTAGAAATCAAAGTGCCAATGATTTTGGAAAATATAGGACAACACTGCCCTCTCTTGGAGGTATATTGCGCTTTTGGTAATTATTGAAAGAGGTTAATTAGCAACATATTTGAAGGTGATAGGGCTCCCTTTTAGTGTCAGATTGAAGTAGCCTATTCACTGTGGATAGCCTTTGTTGTTGTCAAATATGAGCCAACATTGCCCCCCTCTGGATGAACATAGTTGTTGCGGTTTGTCATTTCTTCAAGCTATTAAAGGGTGTCAGTACTGCCCTCTGTTGGATAACTACATTCATTGCATTTTGCTCATCGCATTGAATACTTGAAGGAGGTTAAAATATCTACTGAACATATTTGATGGTCTTTGGGCTGCTTCTTTATAATCATAAAAAAAAGTAGCGGTATAAGATCAAGTCATTTAATGTACATAAGCACGTTTGAGCTGTGTTCTTTTTTTTTTTTATGCAGTACCGAACCGGGATGAAACCCAGGACAATGGAGATAATTCAGGACTAACTGATCAGTGCAATGGTATGGAGAGGACAGTATCATCAATAACACTTCTTCTTAGTTTAAATGATTACATTCTGCAAGTCCAGTGTCAGTATTCATCAGGTTTTTAAATTCCTTTCAGGGAAATGTGCTCATCTCTGTGTGGGCAATGACACCTGTGCCTGCTCCAAAGGCTACAAACTCAAACCAGATGGAAAGAGCTGTGACGGCAAGCAATCCTCTTCCTGGCTCACACTTTTGAATTCAAGTTGTTTTGCTTTAGTTTGTATGAAAAAAAAAGATTCTCTGCTTTCAAACGCTTACAGATATCAACGAGTGTTTGCTTGGAGCGAGTAATTGTCGAGGAGGAGAGCGCTGTATCAACACAGAGGGCTCGTTCCGCTGTCAGAGAGAGGTCAGCTGTGGGACCGGCTATGAACTCACGGACAACAACAACTGCAAAGGTCGGTCAACCTGCTCCTAGTTTCCTTTTGTAACTGTGTATCTGGAGCATATGTTCAATTCCCCTGTATTTTTTGAACATAGATATTGATGAGTGTGAGACAAACATCCATAACTGTGAACCACAGTTTGAGTGCCAAAACACTCAGGGGTCGTTCAGATGTTTCCCTAAGATGAAGTGTGGTGCTGGATATGTCCAGGACGCCCTCGGCAGCTGCATTGGTAAGCACCATATTACAACAGCCCTTACCAATAAATACCAACCGCTAAACTTTAATAGTTAATCGCGATTAATCACATTTTTCAAATTCAATTATTTCACATTAAATAAAAAAATTGACTGGCTTTGATTTGGAACTTTTGCACTGTCCTAAGCTCAGAGTGCTTTACTTGTTTGAATTAAACCCTGCTTTTATTTTGAAATAATGTAACAACCTTCTGGTAGGTAACTCTTTATGTAACAAAATGAAATGGATCTTAAAGGACAAATGTGCTACTTTTTGATCCAGTAGATGTCACCCATGAGTTCCAGCATTAAACCAAAACAAACTGCTGTTTGGCGACACCTCCGCTCTCCTACAGCGTCACACCTCCAACCCCTCTCCACTCACGTTCACAATGAATTATATGAATTAGGACGCACCATAATTAAGCTCCGTTAAGCGCAAGCGGCAGACAAAGTTGTTCTTGGCTCGAGCTGCAATTGCCTGTGGTCTGCATTGTTGTGTTAGCGGGCTAATGTTAGCACACTTTTGTTAACTCGTAGCTTCATACTGAGCATTAACTGACACAGAATGACCGTGATCTAAACACACTTATGTGACATCCAAATAAGCTCTGAGTAGACTATGTTATTCTTCTTCTCTCTAGTCCTTGACTAAAACAGCTTTATACGCAAGGCTGTCTCGTCCATGTAAACATGATGTAAACACAGCTCTGAGAACAGTACAGATGGGGCTTCTCACTCATTTTAGACAGTCATGACTCAGAGAGTCATTTACAGAGGATATACTGGATTCCTGCTGTAATTATGTGTACAATTGTGCATATTCTGCCTTTAATAAAATGGATATTACTTCAGACTGGTCAGCTGAGCTGTCTGAGAGTGTTTTAGGGTGATGTGAGACATTCAAAGATGCAGCAGTGTAGTTCTATTCCATCACTACGACTACAGGGAGACAATTCAGAGGTGTATCTACGGTGCGCAAAAAGGGACAAAATAGCATCAGTTAATCGTGATTTGGGTTAGGGTTTATTTATTTCAGACCTTAATTCATTCATTGTGATTTTACTAGTCAATCCTGACAGATGATCTTCAACACTTGGGATACTTTATGAACTTTTTTTTTTCCGCACTGAGTCAGGAATATCTCTTTTCTCATATATAATTTAGTAAAAACATGTATCCTAATTGAACTGGTATTAACAGATTCCTTTGCTGTACCATTGCCAATACATGTGTTACATTTAGGCAGAAGCTTAAAGATGGTATGTTCAGTTAATGTAACAATTCAATTTCTTGTCTTGTCTTTGTTTTCAGATATCAACGAATGCGTCAGTCAGACGAGCCCGTGTCACAGAGGGGAGATCTGTATCAATACAGTTGGCTCCTACATCTGCCACAGGAACTCTGTGAACTGCGGTCGAGGATACCACCTGAATGATGAGGGCACACGCTGTGTTGGTACGGCTGATAAAGAGACCGAACCAAATCAAACTGCATTCTAACACATACCATGTTTAAAAGTTCAGAGGCCAGAATAAATGATTAGAATTGTTTAAATGTGAAATAAAATAGTACCAATAAAATGAAAGAACTTAGAAAGGCATTTCCCTGAGGAATAAATATGATTTTGATGGTAAACAGGTAGTGAATATATAAAGCTATAAACATAGTCATGTTTGCAGCTATGAACAGCAGTGATAAATACAAACAGTGTAAATGAGTATGCAGATGAGGTCAAAAAGACGGTGTTGAATGACATTTGTATTCATCTCTGCAGATATCGATGAGTGTAAGGGTCTTGAGAAGGTCTGTAAAGGTCATGGTTGCATCAACCTGGTGGGTTCCTACCGTTGTGAGTGTGAGCCTGGATACATCTTCAACAGCATCAGTCGGACCTGTGAGGGTAAGAATGTGATAGATAACACTTTAAACTACCCAAATAGGTGGCTTAATGTTCCTGGCATGTTAATACAACATAAATCAATCTAATCAGAATTGACTTACTCTTACTTTGTCATTTTTTGGACTCTGTTTTTTAGAAATCAATGAATGCAGGCACTACCCCGGCCGTCTGTGTGCCCATAAGTGTGAGAACACTCTGGGATCCTACAAATGTAGCTGCACCACCGGCTTTAAACTATCTCCTGACGGCAGGAATTGTGACGGTAAGATAAATCTCTTAAGATAAGATAAGATAAGATATACTTTATTCATCCCAGCAGGGAAATTTAGGTGTTCCAGCAGCCAGCATACATACAAACACACAACACAACACATATATATACATACATATCCCACCCATACAAAAAAACATGAGCCCACAATACAGTTTGATATATGATATATGCAACTCAGGCTAAAGAAGAAGTGCAACTTTTTCTACAGTGTGTGTTTGTGTGCTTTAGACTTTACTGAGCAGATATTACCAGTGACAGAAAATAATTACTTCTGTTCAGATCCGAGGTAGACAACCTTTTGGCTTCAATCCCGGCTGACAGATCAGTTGTAATCCCGGCAATGGAATCAAGCTGTTTTGGTTTGGTTGTTTACTTGAGGATATGCATAAAAATCAAAATACAACAATTAAAACTTTCCAGGAATAGGATTATAAAGTTTAAGTTTAGTTTTTTGTTTATTTGTTTATTTGAATCAGGGGATTAGGGGTTAGGGTCAACAAAAAAACATTAGTCTCAGAAGAGAAGCTTTGTACCAGATTTAGCTTGGTCTAGATGACAAGTTAATCCTGACAAGACTTGTTCCTTAAAGTCAGTTTATTTACTTCATGGGAGAAAATGTGGAAGTCTGTACAAAGTTTCATTTTAGTTTGGAGATTATTTAATTCTTTAAAGGCTTTAAAAGAAAAAAAAGTCCTTGGTATATTCAGTCATTCAGTCATTCAGGTAAAAATGACAACTAAGATCCATCACTGGAAATAAAAATACTCTGTGTGTCTCAGTGATCTATTTGACTTTGGCTGTTCTTGTATCAGTACTTTTTTCAAATAGGATCCCCTGCTCTGAAGGTGAAGTTTTGTTCTAATTCGAATCATATCTGTACATGAATGAATAGTTCATACTAGTCTGTTTTTTCTGTGTAGATCTGAATGAATGTGAGGCCAACCCCTGCAGTCAAGAGTGTGCCAACGTGTACGGCTCCTATCAGTGTTACTGCCGCCGCGGATATCAGCTCAGTGACATCGATGGCTTGACTTGTGAAGGTGCAGACAACCATTTTAACAGGAAATTACAGCAACACATAAGAAAATATTTCATCCTTTGTATTCCAAAGTGTACAACAGTTTGTCCTGTATTCAGTACAGTAGGTTCTCGCTGCTCAAATCTTCAATGAAGAAAGCCTGCATCTGTTTAAACATACGTTTAAGTAACTACCTTCATGGAAATAGATGCAAAACGAGTTGAATATCAAAAATGATGAAGTTGAGATAAATATTTGAATTGTACTCTCTGGTTTGTCTTGATTTTTTTTGTTTCTGTGACACTTGTAGACATAGACGAGTGTGCTCTGCCCACTGGAGGTCATATCTGCTCTTATCGCTGTCACAACACTCCTGGCAGCTTCCACTGTTCCTGTCCTGTCACTGGCTACACTGTGGCTCCTAACGGACGCAGCTGTCAGGGTAAGTTATCTTTAATGGGTTGTCACATATTAGTCACTAACATGTGATGGCTTACGTCACTTTTAATACAAATATATATTTTTTGACTATTATGAATATTGCTTTTTTCTAACTTTTGTCTGTTTTGTTTGCAGATATCGATGAATGTGTGACGGGCACACACACATGCACCGTAAATGAGAGCTGCTTTAATGTACAGGGAGGATTCAAATGTCTGTCCTTTGAGTGTCCGAACAACTACAGACGTCATGGAGAGATGTGAGTACCTTCATTTTGTCTAGGTGTCACACAATGTCACTGAAAAGATCACACAGACACACATTTAACTTGATAATTATTTATGTAGGGACAAGTAAGGAACTTGTGACCCAAAACCATGCATACAAGTTATTTGTGAATGCCTCTCCCTACTGTATGTGGGCAGGCCTTTGAATACAGTACAAAGTAATCAACAAAACAAGTTACATTACAAAAACTATATAATCCAAGATAAGAACTGTACTTAAATGAGACACCATATACCATGAAGCTACCTGATTATAAAAGACAACATAACTGACACCTGTTAAAAAATAACCCTTTCAGTTTGAGTTTAAAATGATCCCACTCTCAGTTCTGCAGATCAAGTTTTCCACAAATCAATCCTTTGAACAGAAAATGATCCCAATCTCCACCAAAAGCTCGTTTTGAGCCTGATGATTGAAAAATGTATGAATTTGTTTTACAATTTTAATCAAGAGATCATCACATTAAATTTCCTATTAAATGTCTCTCTGAGTCATGACTGAGTGAGAAGCCTGAGTCCCACCAGCTGTACCGTTGTCAGAGACGTGTTAACATCATGTTTACATTGCATATAAAGCTGTTTTAGTCTAGGACTAGAGAAAAGAAGAATAACACAACCTACTCACTGCTTATTTGGATGTCACCTAAGTGTCGTTCCCTATCAATTTAGGTACAATAGGAAGCTATGAGTTAACCAAAGTGTGCTAACATTAGCCTGCTAACACAACAATGCAGGCAAAAAGAATTGCAGCTCGAGCCAAGGTACATGTTTTCCGCTGCTTGCGCCTAAAGGTGCTTAATTATTGTGCGTTCTTATTGATAAATCCTTTGTGCAAATGCGAGGGGAGAGGTGTAGGAGGTGTGCCGCTGGAGGAGAGCGGAGGCTTCAGAATCAGCACGTTCTCGCACATTTTTCCTTTAATATAGGATCAAAACGAAGCACTTTTTTTCTTCTCAGAACCCGACCATGATGTGATCTTGTGCGTTGCCTGTTCTTACAGTAAAATGAGAAATAATAGATGTTGAAAACACAAAAGTCACACATAAAAGGCCCATGTACCTCACAGCCAAGTCTGAATGATCATCCCATCAAGAGCTCTTTGAACACCAGTAAACACTTCCAGGCCTTTTAAAACTGACACGTGTTCATATGTATGGATCAAGGCTCTGCATGTCCAGTTTGCGCACAGCTGGAATGACTTCAAAAGCGTTTTTTCGGCTGTAGCATGTTGTGTTGTTTTAGAATGATGAAATGCATATGGATATTTTCTCATTGGCTCGTTTACATTAGAGGCTGCGTTTGATCACCCACCCGGTGACAGAAGTTCCTGCATGACCCCACAAAGAGCACCATGACTGCCCTGTGAAATATTACGCTGCAGACTGATGTTCCTCCCACTGCATGTCACGCACGGCAAATGAAATTTACACCTGGTCTCTCTTTTTCTTTCTCTCTGTGCCTGTTTTCTGTCGTGTTTCGTCCCTTTTTTCTTTTGTCCCCCAACCTCCTCTCTATTTGCAGTCGATGCGAACGCTTGCTTTGCAATGAGTCTGTCGAGTGCCTGACCATGCCCCAGAGAATAACCTACTACTACCTCACCTTCCCCACCAACATCCCCGTCTTCACCAACATCTTCCGCATGGGCCCCTCGCACACCGTGCCCGGCGATGACATCCAGATTGCTATCGTCGCCGGTAACGAGGGCGGTTTCTTCAAGACAGAACGGGTGCCCACTGGCGGAGTGATGTCAGTGGGAAAGCTCATCGACCAACCGCAGGACTTTGATCTGTCTCTGGAGCTAAGGCTGCGTCGCTACGGCACGCTCAGCACTTACCTGGCTAAGGTGCTGGTGTTTGTTACCCAGGAGGAGCCCAGAGTTCCTTACAATCCCCTTCTAGAATAAACACAAGAGTTATAAGCTGACACAAGTTACTACACTCTTAAAAAAAAAAGACGTGTCATAAGCACCTACAAAATTTACATAAAGAATTACGCAAGATGCATCCAAGACAACCATAGATTATGTTCTTTGAAACATTGAGTATCATGTGTTGTAGTGTATGGATGATTGCAGAACAAACTGCATAGATAGATGCAGGAAAATATAGATTTAATTCTTTATCTGTATAAATCCACAGTCATAGATGGAAATGGCAGGTGCATATAAAGTCAATTCTTGATTATTGAATATTATTCTTAAATCCAGCAGTCATGCATGGATTTATGCTACTTGTGACTGTTATGTTTCGGCTCATTGCCTGAAAGTTGTGTCAAAGCTGACACATCATTTTTTAAGTGTGGTTAAAAAAATAGTTGACACACAAAATCAAAAGCACTATTTTTTTAAAAATGTTATAGCATCTTACCTAATCAACTTTTAAACGCTAGAATTAAGGATCATCATTCAGCAGTAGGAATGGGGTCCACTTGAATGTATTGCCTTGGAGGAAGGGCATCGTGACAGCCTCTAGGTGGCGTTCTAGGTCAGGGTAAATAACAAGAAGTCCCAAGTCTGCCTATGACTGAGTGTAATTGGATGGTGGTTGCATGATAAAGTCTGACGTTTCTTCAGCATTTTATGGTTTTTGTGTTGGATGAACAGTTTTCTATTAAAACTGAAATAGAAGTAACACATGTTCAAGTCCAATCCTGTTTTTGATCATGGTGCATTGTGGAGTTTACTCAAATACAGAAAAGGGAGTTGTGAGGAATGTGAGGGCCGAATCCCAGATGGGGGCATGAAGATTTTCTCACATAGCGTCATATTATTATTGTCCAGACAACATTGACGAAAAGGATATCAAATGATCTGTAGCTTAAAAGTTACATTTACTTTCGTCGGAAGTTGCTCAGCTATAAAAACCTATAAATAAGGTAATTTAAAACCTGATACGAGGTCTTAAAACAACCACATAAAAGCTTTTATTGATATTAATGACATTTCTGATACAAAGTTTGCATTGCTTCTTGATGATTTTAAGTTTTCCCGCAACAATTATGTTTTTAATGACCGAGTCAAACTTTTTCTTTAAAAATATACATATTAGCATCTCTAAGCCAAACTCTTGAGTAATATTCAATGTGTGCATTTACAGGGGGGGGGAAATCAACCAAGTGACTCTACACCTCCAATATTCAAGTCAAAACTGAGCCAGTTTGGGGCTTTTATTGCTTTCTTACTTCCACTTCCTAAACATCGGTTACTTTGCACCGCAAATTCATCTTTCTGTGGCAGGTTTTTTCATGCCCATCTCTTTACCTCATGTCATATTCTCAGCTTAATGTAAAATGCACAGTTTTCCACTGCATTCTGCGGGTGTAAACCCCAAAGCAGACTGATAATCCAAATGAAGGCTGAGTAAGTGACATGCGATGGGATGCAGTGGCAACAGAAAGGGAAATGTGCACCAGCAGGAGAAGGTATAAATAGTCTGACATGCTGTGAGGCTGCTGCCTGAGGGCTGTGGCTTATAATAACTGTAAATTCAGATGTCCTAGGTTCCTCCTGTCCTGAGCTGTCAGGGCCAGTAAGGATGCACTCGGTCCCTGGTGGGGATATCCTTAAAATAAGAACATAGTGGCGCGCAGAAGGTTTTTTCCTCCACTCTGACATTGAGTTATGGGGCTCTGGGCTCTGGCCGGTGGTCTGAACAATTTGTGGTACAGCAACATCACCGCGCACAGAATGAATGATGCCCTACAGTGTTTGTGTTGGGGCGTTATCAATGTGCCGACTATAAATAATAATTACCAAAAAAATAAAAGGCCTTACGCTTGACCAGAGGACTTTCATCCAAAAAGTCTGTTTTTCTTTCTGGGCTGAAAGTATTGGGGTTTTTCTCCTGGGCTGGGCCACGTGAGGCATGGAGCGATGTAGAAGACATGCATTTGTGCATGTACACACACACATATACACTCATATACATACACAAGCATGTTTGCATGCACAAATGACCAAACACTCATACAGACACACATGCAATCTTGTCACAGAGATACATGTGCACAAACACACAGATGGGGCTGTAGTAAGCTCAACTTGCTGCCCCTGCTTTGAAGTGCCCCATCTGTGTTTAAGGGGGGGGGGCATTTCACCCTGAGTCATTATCTTCTCGTAAATTTACTTTCTACCCCAACAGAGCTTTCACCTTGTTCTTCTAGAGCCCCGCTCTGGCCTTTCTGCAGCTCAGCCTGCAGTATTTTAAACTAGAAGAACATTTTGTGGGTTTGGCCTGGGCCAAAGCAAAACTTGGACCCACCCGCTAATTGCTAATTACAAGCCCCTACCCAGTGGTGGCTTGACTTTTTGTCAGGGGCTTCTCTATTCTCGCTCAACATGGAAGGAGCCCTGCAACCCAAGCCGGGCCTGTGCTTTGAGCTGCAGCCTATAGGTCCCCTGAGGAACTCCAGAGATCTACGGCTCACATGACTCACAATGAGGCTATAAGGCTGCCATGCACATTAAGTGGACTTATACATGGCAGCTTGGCTGTTTTTATAACCCAATATAACCATGTACTGACTTGTCTCCTCTGCGAAGACAAAGCTTCAATTTAAGATCTTGGATGTCAAAGTCGGGGCTTTTATTTAGATTCAATAGCGCTTTATGATCACAAGTTCCACATGGTTTCAAAGACAAACCCTTGATTTATGAGCTTGTTAATGCCGCATGAGCCTCTCTCAGAGTCTTATGTAGCAGACAGGTAGTGAATAGCGATACTTCAGGTGGTGTTAGCCTTAGGAGCCAGCAGGGGCCCTCCATTCCCTCCGACCTGTCAGTGATTAGTCTGTGGAATAAACAAAGCCCTAAATAATAGGATGAGAGCTGCCCCGGGGAGAGGTTGGGGAGTTGTCTAGTCATGTTGCTCACAATTTAGGAGACTTTTAGAACACTCCCCCGCCACATAAATCCTCCTCAAGAGATTATCTGATGTGAAGCCGGGGATGTTCAGCAAATCCAAATATTTTCCTGAGCAGGTTGTGGATCATTCTCTGTGAGTGGAGTAATTCATTTCCCACAATGCTTGAAAAAAGTGCATCAGAAACGCATCAATGGCAGTGCTTGTCTCCACAGGCTGCAAAGTTTGGCTTCAGCATGAACTTTTGGGCCATTGTTGGTTTAATATTCCTCCAAACCACAAAGAAATCTGATTGTTTTTAATGTTGACTGCTATAGCCATTATCCATGGCGGGCCATTTGAGTTATCCCACTGAGTTCATGATTACACCATGGGGTGCTCTTAAGGATGTTTTGAAAACTAAAAGGTGGTTGACTCTTTGGTCTTTATGCAGACATTTACTAGAGGTCAGAGGCCATGTGTTTGTTTTTTCCTTTTTTTTTGTGGGTGTGTATGTTTGTTCTCTCCTTTAGAGTGACGAGGCTTGAACGCTCTGACACCATCCGCTGTATAAAGACCTGTCAGCCAAATGACGTCGCCTGTGTTCTGAACCCCACGCACTCTATCTCCCACACCTTCATCTCCCTGCCCACCTCCAGAGAGTTCCTCAGGCCAGAGGGTAAGAAGGAGACTTTTTTCTGTTCTTAAGGTTTGGAGTAATCCAGTTAGGCAAACATGCTGCAAAAGTGTAACAAAAAAAAAAAAAAGGAGGACAAAATGAACCCAAGTTTCATTGCAGGAACTTTCCTGAGGACGAATAAAGGCTTTAAAGAAGGGTTTATCATTTGGGAAATATGGATTTTCCATTTTCTGCCAAAAAAATAGTTAAGAAGGGGCACCAGCTAACCTAGCGGTTATGATGCATGCCCCATGTACAGAGGATGTAGCCCTCGTTGCAGCGGCCGTGGGTTCGAATCCGCCTTGATCCTTTGCTGTATGTCACCCCCAACTCTCTCCTCCCAACATTTCCTGTCTTTCTTCAGCCGTCCTATCTAATAAAATCAGTTTTTAGAGAGGAAGCTAATTTTTCCCCCTCCAAAATGTTGAGTTTAAGAATAAAATATGCTTTATTTGTGTCTTTGTCTTGCATGTGCAAAAATGACATTTAAACAACAACGTATTCCTAATAAAACAGACACATAGAGCTACATCAAAAGAGAGCACCAGGTTATCAATGGTAAAACATGATTAAAGGACAGTTGCAGGCAGTGGGTCACAGCCAGCAGCTTGCCCTGGAAGCTTTAAAAACCAAGCCTTAAAACAACCGATCATCTTTTTCTTTGTGTCCTACTTTTCTACATTTTAACTATCCCTCAAAACACAGAATTTGTGGCTTCGAGTACTGATAGAACATCGTGTTACATTCTTTGGAAACAAGTTTGAAAACAACATGCTATCTTGTGTTTTCCTAGTGTCAGTGTGTTCCTCCTCCTTTTTTTTCTCTTTAGCTCGACTCTATCTCTCCCTAAATCGCCAAGCTCCCATCAAATGTGTTTCCCTGCAGTTGTCAGAATCCATACTTCTCCCTCTGACCCCAGAATTAACTCTTCCATGATGTCCTCCATGCAGTCAGAGAGTAAGTTCCATGCTGCTTGGTAATCACTCGCAAAAAAGTGACAGCTGACAAGCATCTATTGGCCGGAGTGTAGACCATGTTTCAGACACACTCTTGCTCAACGTCATGGGAAGTTTAGCTCATTTCTCGTAAGCTCTGACAATGGGTGCAAAGAACCCAAGGCCCTTCAGCCAAACTCCATTGAAAAGCCTCAACCTTCATGTGACCCTCTCAGTGTACAACAAACACACACTTTTCCATTTCCCTTTTTATTGCCTTTGTCTTAAAAAGGAAAAAAAAAAGAAGGAGAAAAGAAAGAGTTGGTACTAGCTAAGCGGCAATCCCAGTGTGACCATAGAGCTTCATGCTACTAAAGCTTTTGTGTCTCCTTGTTATCTTCCAACAGAGATTGTCTTCCTGAGAACGACGGTGCCGGCTTACGGGTCCTATCACTTAGGAAGCTACGACGTCAAGTTTGAGATCCTGGAGGGCAACGTGGAGAACGCCTTCGACATCTTAAAGCGGGTGGAGAATGGAATGTATGTGGGTGAGTACGGAGATTTAACTTTGCTGTGAAGTCTGGATGAAACAAGCTAGTGCAAACATTAGCAACAAAAGCAGCTTTAACAGGCAGCCTGACAGGCTCCTTGACTGGAAATTGCATTTTTTTTTTTTTTTTTAACAAAAGAGGATTTTTTTCCTTTCCAATCCTCATTTTGAAATACATACGTGTTTTTTTTATTTTTTTTATTGCAAATCAAATTCACATGTGCACACTGAGAAGGGACACAGAGAAATCTCCCCCTGAGGAATGTCTGGATGCCCTGACTAAACTACATCTGCTAGTTACAGCCTGCTACAGTCTGTGCAGTCTGGTGGCATCATGTAGCTGTCATCGTCTTCATGGGGGTATCTCAGCGTCTGTGTCTCTACAAGGTTGTCCTCTGAGTGGCTCTTCTAGACAGGCGCAGGCCTGTTTCTGTCCAACCAAATATTTGGCATCGATTTTTACAGTCTTGTGGTCAGACAAAGCAGAATTTAATTCACTTATCTATGGCTATGCATATCCAGAGCAGATCGTTACTCTCCACAATAACTTAGTGTGGTCTGAATGAACAGTAATGGAGTGTATAAACCAGCAATTGGTATTCACATGCACATTTGCATGATTGATTAC